ACCAGTGTGACTGGGATTTGACTTGTTCTATTGACCAGTGTGACTGGGATTTGACTTGTTCTACTGACCAGTGTGACTGGGATTTGACTTGTTCTATTGACCAGTGTGACTGGGATTTGACTTGTTCTACTGACCAGTGTGACTGGGATTTGACTTGTTCTATTGACCAGTGTGACTGGGATTTGACTTGTTCTATTGACCAGTGTGACTGGGATTTGACTTGTTCTATTGACCAGTGTGACTGGGATTTGACTTGTTCTATTGACAGTGTGACTGGGATTTGACTTGTTCTATTGACCAGTGTGACTGGGATTTGACTTGTTCTATTGACCAGTGTGACTGGGATTTGACTTGTTCTATTGACCAGTGTGACTGGGATTTGACTTGTTCTATTGACCAGTGTGACTGGGATTTGACTTGTTCTATTGACCCCACTCAGCTAGAGCAACTCTCGCCAGACGTCTCGTTTGTTTTCCTTCTAATGCGTTTGTCGAGTACACGGCGCTCCAGCACTTAAAAAAATATGAAAATAAGGGCGGGAGGGGATTTTGTTTTACTCGTATGTCGGAAAACACTGGCCTGCGCATGCGCACTGCAGTTTATCGATTTTTTTTTTCATTTTCCACAAATATTTATCGCATTTTCAAAAAAAATAGATGTATAATAATGTCATGGTTGACTAGATTTAACGATATTTATTTTAAATTTGATAATTTCGACACGTAAAAAGTTATCTGTAAACATTTTTAAAAATAATTTCAAACATGAAAAACATTAACGTGGTTAGTGGATTTTTTTGTCAACAGAAAATCGATTTTTTTCGTACCGCCATTCTTCTCTTACAATCCTCTCAACTAGGCCAACTGCTGCTATAGGTGTGACGTAACTTCCGGCTCAGACGTTTCTCCGGCTTCTGCTACCGGCCGCCTCCACTTAGATCGAATTGATTGCTGTCAATGTATTAATTAACGTGTGTTGTAATTATCTAGGCTGCATTAACTTGTGCTGTAATTAATTAGTGATGTAATTAATTAGTTTTTATAATATTTATTATATTTTAAATTATATGGCGACGAACTTTGATGTGAAGAACATTACTCTACTAAATGGGCTGATAGTTTAATAAAACATAAAGGATTTTATTATTTTAATTTGAGTACTTTTAACGAGATCGTATAGTGTCTGGTCTTTACTCAGACACACCCAAAAGTGACTCATGTGGTGAAACGAGTGACCGCTTGACCATTATTTCATGTCTCGTGGCGTCTTGTGGCATTGATGGAGTCAAGCTTTGTTTACCTTTAAATGGTGATGGCGACCTTAGCTCAATAAACTTTGTTTCCTTTTAAATCGTGATGGCGACCTTAGCTCAATAAACTTTGTTTCCTTTTAAATCGTGATGGCGTCCTTAGCTCAATGAGCTTTGTTTACCTATAAATCGTGACCCCAAGGACAGGACTAGAAAAACAACTTGACTCAACTGGGATTCGAACCCCATACCTTTCAACCCTATTGTCTCTTCGTCATCGACCGACCCAACCCCGGACTGTTGTCAAAACAATAAAATGTTTACATCACGTGACGCCCGTACTCCCGCCGTAACCCGCTCGACCTGATCCCACTGAGCTCATGTCTCCGATTGATAATATTTTGACACACAACAAATCGACAAGTTCTGGAGTTTTTGTCCACTTGGCAGGGAAATCAAATATTTGCAGCCATGGAACAAAGACATTCCGGTATTGGCGATTGTTGGGAGCCTTTCAACACTCATCGACGTTAAACCACGCCCATCGTGGGCTTGTAGGCCACGCCTACAATATAGGCTGGCTACACCTCCACAACGCTCACTCGACAATCATTCGTTTGGGAACTACCTCCCCCCCCCCGGCCATCTAGCATAGGGTTATAAGCCACGCCCACAACATGCGAACCACGCCCACATCATACTCGAGTGAACCCCGCCCACAACATGGACTAGTGAAATACAGGTTGACAAGTACCGTAGTTTAATGATAATAGTTAATTTGACCACTATTTTCATTTGCGAGTGTTCTTTATAACACAACGTTACTACCTCATACACATGAACATCTTGTAAGTTAAAATAACCAACGGCTACATCAGACAAAAATTAGATCATACCGACTGTTGTAAGGACCTAAGAGGACACAGACAAAGGAAATTTTAACGAAATAAAATACATTGCTGACTCGGGTGTTTAAAAAAAGGCATTAAAATTGACATTAATGCTGAACGCCATTCCGTGATCGCGCAACTGGCAACCCAGTCTTGGCCGACAGCTCGTCAAAAAATCTGGCAACCCGTGTACGTGTTTCTCTGTGTTTCGCCAATGAATGTTAATGTGTGATCACGCCCCCACCTCGTAGCACATCAATCTCCACCCACTTAAATCCTCGTCGCCATTCAGTGCTGCTAGATTTCTCAGCCGAGATTCTGTAAAACAAAACTCAGAAAATGAAATGCTATTTGAAATAACATTTCAATGCATCTTAGAGGTAGAGCTGTTTTAGACGAGCGTTGGATGATTAGGACAAAGTGATCCTTGAATGTAACAATTTTACTGGGAGAAGCGGGGGCAGGGTGACATTGACAATGTTGGCAAGGTTGCTGACCATGGTTATAACATTTGTATAGGGACAGCTCTATATAGATCTAGAAACCAGCAGATCTCTTCGCTGGGGTACAGTTTTAAATTCTGGTTACTTTGGATGATATAGATCTCAATGTTAGGTGATAAGAGGTATGGGTCCAAATTTTTGGTAACTAGGGACATGGGTCTCAATTTTTGGTAACTAGGGACATGGGTCTCAATTTTTGGTAACTAGGGACATGGGTCTCAATTTTTGGTAACTAGGGACATGGGTCTCAATTTTGGTAACTAGAGACATGGGTCTCAATTTTTGGTAACTAGGGACATGGGTCTCAATTTTTGGTAACTAGGGTCATGGGTCTCCCTTTGTATGTGCATTAAGATACGGCAACAATATATTGGTTTATAACAAGAGTTGGATTTAAAAATGATATGTTCAGTCCATGATTCACACAGTCATAACTTAATGTTCCGTGTGTGATTCACACATATAATTCACACAACACAATCTGGATGTTCTGTGTGTCATTCACACAGCACAATCTGAATTGATTGTTTCACGAAGGATTCGCTACTTTAAAACAAATATAATTTCGATGTTTAGTTCGCTGTGTTTTACTATTCTCTTTCAAAGGTTTCAAAGGTCTATTGTTTCGTTTCTACCTGATCGCTCGTTTTGTCTCATCTTTTATTTACATCAGGTGGTGTTGTTGGTCTAGGTAGATGTCATCAGATATCATAGTTTTCCTAGGTTGATGTCATCAGATGTCATTGTTGGCCTAGGTTGATGTCATCAGATGTCATAGTTTTCCTAGGTTGATGTCATCAGATGTCATTGTTGGCCTAGGTTGATGTCATCAGATGTCATTGTTAGCCTAGGTTGATGCCATCAGATGTCATTGTCTGCCTAGATTAATGTCATCAGATGTCATTGTTAGCCTAGGTTGATGTCATCAGATGTCATTGTTTGCCTAGATTAATGTCATCAGATGTCATTGTTTGCTTAGGTTGATGTCATCAGATGTCATTGTTTGCCTAGATTAATGTCATCAGATGTCATTGTTAGCCTAGGTTGATGCCATCAGATGTCATTGTTTGCCTAGATTAATGTCATCAGATGTCATTGTTTGCCTAGATTAATGTCATCAGATGTCATTGTTTGCCTAGATTAATGTCATCAGATGTCATTGTTTTCCAAGGATGTCATTGTTAACACCCTCCTCACTCCCCCTCCCCACTTCCAAATATTGTCTAGAGCCTGATATCCCCACACACTCCCACACATTAAAAAATTGTGAGTGGTCACGTCATATGCACCCCGAGCTGCGTCCATTAATTATATATCAGACAAACACAAAACTCCCCGACCCCCCGGGGACGGGAGGGGAGTGAAGCGGCTCTGTAAACTCCACCAGGGTCGCTTGAGGCATTATCTGGCATCATTTTATTTTCGTTGCTCTTTAAAACTTCGACATTTGGGAAATATCGAGATTTTAATACTCTCTAGACGGGCTAGAGAAACGGTAAGAGATTTGACACGTTTTATGAAGAAAAAAAACAATGGGTGGGGTGGTAAAAGGGGAGGGGAGTAAATTCGGGGTGGGTGGGGAGGCTTGGTGGAAACTGTTGATGGGTAGGTAGTTAGGTAGTAGTGGTGGTGTGTGTTGGGGGTGGGTAACTAGGTGTGGAGAGGGGTGTAGTGGTGGGGTAGGGTGGGATGTGGTAGAAAATATGAGTTGGGCTATGTGGTGATTAAATTTGAGGTGTTAGCTAATGTGGAGTGGGGGGGGGGGGGGACAGTAACAGAGCAAGAAAAAAAGACGAAGCGTGCAGTGTAAGTGTGTGTGTGTTTGTGTGTGATGTCAGATGTGTGGTCAGTCAATGAACAATGGTCAATCGCGACCAAAAATAGAACACTAATCAGGCATCTCCTCCAACCATCAGTCATTGGATGTCTTGCCCAATCATTTCATTACTTTTAAAACAACAGTGCTTGTAGCTAATGTGGGACGGCATTGTCGAATGGTAGGGCAGTTAGGTGCTCTCCGGAAGGTAGCGAGTGCGGGTCTCGGTTCGGACTTGTGACTGTAAGACGTCCCTGAGTCCACCCAGCTGGGGAAATTAAAGTCGACTGGGTTTAGTGCTGACTACACCATCCCTTCATATTTTATTCAAATACCGAGGTTTAAGAAATATATGAACTCTACTTCATCTGCCCAATGAATCACTAGGGGAATGTTTTTTTTTTTCACTTGCGAAAAAAAAAATTCAATTAAAAAAAAAACACGATACATTTTAAAAACAATGACTAACTATAAATATTATTTGACGTTAAAAACAAATTAAAAACAAAGTTAATTTATGCATGAACTTCTTCTACCACCAGCCATGAGCCAATCATCTGGCTGCAAGTTGCCTTAAAACCCAAATTCTATGGAGTACCTCGCCAAGTTATCTACCCTGGGAATGACGTCACGACCAATGAAACAAGCCGCAGTGGTCACGTGTCTTCTTGCGGTGTTTTTCTCAACTTGTATCAGCACTAAAGGTAAGTCTGCCCTGCTCCTGCCAGTTAACTTATCACCCTTTAGTTGAGCTAACAGCAGTTTATGTCCCTCCCCCCTCCCCAACTCCACCCCCATTCTGCACTACAACTACACCCAACTTTTATCCTGGGAAATAGAATTCTATCCCCTGTCATAGAGACCATTTAAAGTTTTTCTTTTTATTACCCAAGAAAGGATTAAATGTGCGATTCACGAAAATAAAACCCCCTCGCTTTATGCACATAACCAGCATCGTTCATGAGAAAATTTCCCGTCTTTTCAGAAGTGGTTGTGGGGATCGATACAGGCGATTGATCGGTAAATCTTTTCAATCCTGAGCCCTTATATTGTGTTATCGATACCTTCATTGTGTTAAAGCATCGCTGCTTGCTTGTATTGTGTCCGGGCCTGTCCACGAGTGAAGGAAAGATTGAAAGAATAAAAAAATCTCCCCGGATAAAATTTTGTGGGCGAAAGTTTCCTCAGCACCGTAGGTTGAGGAACTCGTGTGTTGGTCAACAAAATCACGTGATGTCTATAGTACGCTGTCACGTGACGCACATATTTACTTACAAGTTAATATCGATCAGTGACGTCACTAGGTCTGGTGTCACACGGTGCAGGAAATGTAGGTGGCGTCCAATGATTTAAATCTCTGGACTATGTGGGCGTACGCAAATCTCTAGGCTATGTGGGCGTACGCAAATCTCTAGGCTATGTGGGTGTACTCAAATCTCTAGGCTATGTGGGTGTACTCAAATCTCTAGGCTATGTGGGTGTACTCAAATCTCTAGGCTATGTGGGTGTACTCAAATCTCTAGGCTATGTGGGTGTACTCAAATCTCTAGGCTATGTGGGTGTACTCAAATCTCTAGGCTATGTGGGTGTACTCAAATCTCTAGGCTATGTGGGCGTACGCAAATCTCTAGGCTATGTGGGTGTAGGCTATGTGGTTGTAGGCTATGTGGGTGTAGGCTATGTGGGTGTACTCAAATCTCTAGGCTATGTGGGTGTACTCAAATCTCTAGGCTATGTGGGTGTACTCAAATCTCTAGGCTATGTGGGCGTACTCAAATCTCTAGGCTATGTGGGTGTACTCAAATCTCTAGGCTATGTGGGTGTACTCAAATCTCTAGGCTATGTGGGTGTACTCAAATCTCTAGGCTATGTGGGTGTACTCAAATCTCTAGGCTATGTGGGTGTACTCAAATCTCTAGGCTATGTGGGTGTACTCAAATCTCTAGGCTATGTGGGTGTACTCAAATCTCTAGGCTATGTGGGTGTACTCAAATCTCTAGGCTATGTGGGTGTATTCAAATCTCTAGGCTATGTGGGTGTATTCAAATCTCTAGGCTATGTGGGTGTAGGCTATGTGGACGTACTCAAATCTCTGGGCTATGTGGGTGTAGGCTATGTGGGTGTAGGCTATGTGGGTGTAGGCTATGTGGGTGTACTTAAATCTATAGGCTATGTGGGTGTAGGCTATGTGGGTGTAGGCTATGTGGGTGTAGGCTATGTGGGTGTAGGCTATGTGGGTGTAGGCTATGTGGGTGTACTCAAATCTCTAGGCTATGTGAGCGTACTCAAATCTCTGGGCTATGTGGGTGTACAGAAATCTATTCAGATATACTGAAATCTACAAGCTATTTGGATGTGCTCAAATCTATAGGCTATTTAGTCTCAACCCATCACCCCCCTCCTCTTTCTCAACACACCCTCCCGCTAATGTTTGCGCTTCACTAACTTATTTAACAACCATTAGCTATTAACTCAACTGGTTACGCTAATGATAAAACTACATTACGGGGCGGTTACTCTAACTGAAGCCAGCATTAAAATAAAACAAGCTCTGTACGTGGTTGTCACCCTTGTCACAAGATGGACAACATTTTTTCTTTGATAATTTAGTGTAAACGGTCGAAAATTTGATTCTGAACCAAAATTGAATTGTCTATAATTTTAAAAAATCTAATTTCAACTTTCCATAAACAGCGTTTTAACATAAAGTTTAGAGCAACTATCGAAAAACAAAGTTAAAGAAATAAATGATCGGATAAAAGAAGAAATGTGAATCTACATGATGACATAACATTTTTTTGGGAAGTACTGAGATCTTGAGCGCAGTTATTTCAAACATTATCTAACTTTAAAAAAAAAATTAAAAAAAAATGACATAATATTTTGCTATTAAAATGTATTCTTTTTAAAGTAAAGTTGAATTTTGATGTTAAAATAATTGTCGGACAATGAACACCAGACCTGTGACCTACACACCAGACCTGTGACCTACACACCAGACCTGTGACCCACACACCAGACCTGTGACCTACACACCAGACCTGTGACCTACACACCAGACCTGTGACCTACACACCACACCTCTGACCTACACACCAGACATGTGACCTACACACCACACCTCTGACCTACACACCAGACCCCCGACCCACACACCAGACCTGTGACACAGACCTGTGACCTACACACCAGACCTGTGACCCACACACCAGACCTGTGACCTACACACCAGACCTGTGACCTACACACCAGACCTGTGACCTACACACCAGACCTGTGACCTACACACCAGACCTGTGACCTACACCCCAGACCTGTGACCTACACACCAGACCTGCGACCTACACACCAGACCTGTGACCTACACACCAGATCTGTGACCCACACGCCAGACCTGTGACCCACACACCAGACCTGTGACCTACATACCAGACCTGTGACCTACACACCAGACCCGTGACCTACAGACCTGTGACCCACATACCAGACCTGTGACCTACACACCAGACCTGTGACCTACACACCAGACCTGTGACCTACACACCAGACCAGTGACCTACACACCAGACCTGTGACCTACACACCAGACCTGTGACCTACACCCCAGACCTGTGACCTACACACCAGACCTGCGACCTACACACCAGACCTGTGACCTACACACCAGACCCGTGACCTACACACCAGACCCTTGACCTACACACCAGACCTGTGACCTACACACCTCTGACCTACACACCAGACCTGCGACCTACACACCAGACCTGTGACCTACACACCAGACCTGTGACCTACACACCAGACCTGTGACCTACACACCAGACCTGTGACCTACACACCAGACCTGTGACCTACACCCCAGACCTGTGACCTACACACCAGACCTGCGACCTACACACCAGACCTGTGACCTACACACCAGATCTGTGACCCACACACCAGACCTGTGACCCACACACCAGACCTGTGACCTACATACCAGACCTGTGACCTACACACCAGACCCGTGACCTACAGACCTGTGACCCACATACCAGACCTGTGACCTACACACCAGACCTGTGACCTGCACACCTCTGACCTACACACCAGACCTGCGACCTACACACCAGACCTGCGACCTACACACCAGACCTGTGACCTACACACCAGACCTGTGACCCACACACCAGACCTGTGACCCACACACCAGACCTGTGACCTACATAGCAGACCTGTGACCTACACACCAGACCCGTGACCTACAGACCTGTGACCCACATACCAGACCTGTGACCTACACACCAGACCTGTGACCTACACACCAGACCTGTGACCTACACACCAGACCTGTGACCTACACACCAGACCTGTGACCTACACACCAGACCTGCGACCTACACACCAGACCCCTGACCTACACACCAGACCTGTGACCTACACACCAGACCTGTGACCTACACACCAGACCCGTGACCTACACACCAGACCCTTGACCTACACACCAGACCTGTGACCTACACACCTCTGACCTACACACCAGACCTGCGACCTACACACCAGACCTGCGACCTACACACCAGACCTGTGACCTACACACCAGACCTCTGACCTACACACCAGACCTGTGACCTACACACCAGACCTGTGACCTACACACCAGACCTGTGACCTACACACCAGACCTGTGACCTACACACCAGACCTGTGACCTACACACCAGACCCGTGACCTACACACCAGACCTGTGACCTACACACCAGACCCGTGACCTACACACCAGACCTGTGACCCACACACCAGACCCGTGACCTACACACCTCTGACCTACACACAAGACCCGTGACCTACACACCAGACCTGTGACCTACACACCAGACCCCCGACCCACACACCAGACCTGTGACCCACACACCAGACCTGTGACCTACACACCAGACCTGTGACCTACACACCAGACCTGTGACCTACACACCAGACCTGTGACCTACACACCAGACCTGTGACCTACACACCAGACCTGTGACCTACACCCCAGACCTGTGACCTACACACCAGACCTGCGACCTACACACCAGACCTGTGACCCACACACCAGACCTGTGACCTACACACCAGACCTGTGACCTACACACCAGACCTGTGACACAGACCCGTGACCTATACACCAGACCCTTGACCTACACACCAGACCTGTGACCTACACACCTCTGACCCACACACCAGACCTGCGACCTACACACCAGACCTGCGACCTACACACCAGACCTGTGACCTATACACCTCTGACCTACACACCAGACCTGTGACCTACACACCAGACCTGTGACCCACATACCAGACCTGTGACCTACACACCAGACCTGTGACCTACACACCAGACCTGTGACCTACACACCTCTGACCTACACACCAGACCTGTGCCCTACACTCCGTACCTGGCGTTTGGCCAGTAAACAGCTTGGCCAATCAATACGATAGGTGCTAATGAAAAATGCATCATCGTCAAATGTCAACAAGTCACATCCCTTGTTTCTTTGCTGTCAGTAGCCTGTTAGTTGTAGGCAGACCAGATCGCTGTTTATTAGGCTGTCAGTAGCCTGTTAGCTGTAGACAGTCCAGTGGCTGTTTATTAGGCTGTCAGTAGCCTGTTGGCTGTAGACAGACCAGTGGCTGCTTATTAGGCTGTCAGTAGCCTGTTAGCTGTAGACAGACCAGTGGCTGC